GTGTTACTCCTAGTCAGAACAAGGCTTAAACGTAACCTTGTAAAATCGATTTGACACCTTCTGAAGAAAATAGACCCCGGTACCACATCCATCGTACTGATTTCTTCAAATAAATAACAGCTGTATTAACAAAAGTGTTGGAATCAGAAAATCTAGGGAGCGGTTTAATGTACATGGTTTACCGAGTCAGCAGCTCATGGCTTTCTTAGAAGAAGAGCCTAATGTGTTTGATCTGTGTATGGTCCAAGAAATAAATCAAGGGGTCCACAGAAGGATAATTAATGGCGTTCACTCTTGTTATTGCGTTCTTTTCTAAAGGTGGAGCTCCCGTTTACTGTCTCAGACTACTATTAGACTCAAAAAAAAAGTTCTGGGGCACTTGAAAGAGTAGAAAATTTATGCACGGATTCCAAACAAAAGCAGCAATAACTATTCCTCAAGATAAATTCCATCTTTTTCTATGACTTTCTGCCATCGGTCCGCCAAGTCTCGTTCCAAGCTCCATTCCCAGTTCCGAGTTCGGTAGTCAATTCGCTAGCATTTGACGACGGTTAATCTTCCAAAGCATCAATCAAATCTTGGTTGTTCAACTTTGTTGGGCGTCCTAAACGAAGCATGTTATCGAGTTCAGGATCTCCGGCATTGAAGCGTTGAAACCAGTGTTCAGTAGCAAATTTTCTTGTCGTGCTTTTCTTTTCAACTTCGTTGATTTATCGACTGCAGCTCGCTGTAAAGGACGTTTTCTTCAACAGTGACGCAATAAAAGAACACAACTTCGATTGTATCAGTGGACATGGTGGAGGATGGTAACAAAGTGAAAATAAAGACGAAGAATATCTTAGTCCTTAGTGGGAAAATCCCACATAAGAAACTGTGGTATTGCCGTAATATGCATGGGAGTTACCTCATGCTTATTAAAATGCCCCAGAACTTTCTTTCCAACCGTAGTTTTTTTTTACTGCATGCATATCGACAAGTGTTTTGTGATCTGTTTATCACTTGAAGAGATAGACAAATTTCTTAAATTGTTGAAAGAACATTCACAGCGGAAAAATTTCATATGAGAGAAGGCGAAGGTTTTCGACATCACCCTTTCCAAAAACATATTTATTAAAATGATCAGTAAACCACTAGGAGAGCGTACTGATTGAGTATTTTTTCCTCACACCTATCTCACACATAAAGAGCGTTTTTGAGAAACATGTTTCAAACAGCAATTATTGTGTGAAAAGAAGGAAAGCAAGAAAAAGAATTCTTAAACTTGGCACGGTATTTAATCATTTCCAATCTGCGAAACGTTGGCGGCTTCTTGGGTTCGATCTAACGAAAAGTCGACGTCCACAAATGATGATTGCCGCAGAACCAAGGTCGCGTCAGTCATACCATCCTCCACCAACGGACACACTCATGAGACATTGCTCAAAAAGCGAATCAGAATTAGACTGAATAAGCCAGTCTTAGTTATTACAAGACCACCAAGCACTTATGGACGGAACTCACGCGAGACCGATTATGTGACTGCCTATTCAAAACGAAAAACTGCATATTTTGCCCCAACATAAAAAGGTAAGTGCATAAGTTAGGGTACAACGTATCTGATTTCTTACAAAGCATGTGGAGACGAATGGGTAGCAAAGGGGTAGACACTCTGCATCCGTACGAAGGTGCACCTAACAAAGCTAATTAGAGTAAAAAAACCCTCCAGAAGGCCACGTATAAAACTCAACGAGATAACAGAGGAAATCTTGAACTTCGCGTAGAAGATTTCGAAATATCAGTGTGTAAAACTCACGATGCATTTTGGATATATTCCAAAAGTACAATAATAAGCTGCAAGAAGAAGACCTTAAATTGTGGGTGATCTCGCGTTAAACCTCAGACTGATCGAGCTCACCACGTTCCACTCATGTAAAACTGTGCGACTGATCTCCAGCTATAACTGGAAGATTTCTAAAGAACAAAACAACGAGTGTTCAACAGGTTTGTGGCGGTGGCCTTTTCAGATGGAGAACGGTTTCGTCGGTGAGATAGTGTTTGAAGGGTGTGCGACGTCCTGATACTTATATTGTAAAATTTGGGTATTAGAAATACTACATCACCACATAATGATATTTTTATTCAAAAAACGGCCATGCGTTTCAACAAGTCCTTTCATTAACGGAAAACCATATCCATGGAAAAAGAACATACTTCGATTTTTCACGCAGATTTCTATGTTTCTTTATCTATAGTTATTACAACTCTATTTTGTACGTCTGAGCGAATGACACAGGCATGCTGAGGATTTATGCAGGCTATCCTGGTCGTGCTAAGATGTTATGCGAGTGCAAATAATATACTAAAATTTATCTGTTTGGGTCATGAAAATGCTGTTATTCGATATGAAGCATCTGAACTGGTTGAACAGGCAAACGGAATGGACAATAAAATGACCGATAATTTTTTGCATGAATACCACCTTTTTATGGACGATTTACACATGAAAAATGATCGTGTGGTCTCGTGGTGACAATAATCCGTATTTTTGTTAAAGTACCTGATGAGCAATCAGTATCTCATCCAATGTCTTTTTTTTGGGAGGGTTATAAACTCTTCTTCCGAACTTATCGTCAGAGTTTTTCAAGACGCTTTTCTCGCGCTCACTCATTCTAAAGAAGTTCATATCAATAGTCCATCAAATCAGCCATCTTATGGAACCGGCAAGATAATACTATACGGAATCAATATTATACTTAGTAATAATGATGAAAATTCTTTTGATTAGACAACTTAACAATTTGGAATGAAAACATGACAAAGTCATGATGAAGATGCGACAGCAGGCATGGGATCGTAGATCTCAACCTGAACTTGCTTGATGATTATCTAGCCATAAGATCGTTCTAGTCAGTATCATGGCCAGTTCTAAGATGAGAATTTTATCGTGAAATCATTGAGCATTAAAGACGAAAACATGCTCCACAAAATGCTGAAGGTTGTTAAAAGGCCAAAAAAAGTGAGCAGGACGAACAGAGGCATATGCTTGAATGCTGATAGTAAAAGGAAAATAGTATGAAATAGAAGATCGTCCTAAACCTAAACTGCGCAATAAGTAATTTGTGCTGTGTTATGCTCTGTTTTAACATTTTCAAGAAAACCTTTACTGATGATAAAAGGTGTTATGATCCATCCACAAAATGTTGTTTTCTTAATGTTGCGATCGATCACTGTGTACAGTGATGCAAAAGCGTAAAAAGCACTCGCTCTTTGCACATCACGTGAAATTGTTCCGTTAGCTGAAAATAAAAAAACATGTTGACTTCTAAATGATACACCAGACATAACAAATGTCACTGGCAGTCAAGTGTAAAAATGGACATAAAACTAATAAGAAAATAAGGCCCAAAAAGAGTCGCTCACAAGCTCCTTCAAAAAAGCAGAGCAAAAATTTCAGTTTAAACAGTAAAATAGCCACCGCTCTGCTAACGGAATAGAGAACAAGAATTCCACTCATCTGTTTAAACCAAAAATCCACTACCCTGCATGCTTTAATCACTCAACAAAATAGAACCAGGACGAAAGGATGTGCAATGTTTTCCAAATTATCAAATCCTATCTCGAAATAATGTGGTAAGAAGATCAGAGGACAACACAGACATTCATGACGAGTCACTTAATGACCTCGTATGGTTCAGACAATATTCACAATGGCACGAAGCAGCGACAGCAAAGGAGACACTTCAATCCACGATACTCACGTGGTATTTGTTGTTTCGAAACCTGTCTTGACAGTCTAAAATAGCTAGTGTTAGTTTAGAGTTTTACGGTGATGTGCCATAGAATCTGTGGCAGCGTGCTTTCACAGTAGGAATAAATAGTTGAGAAATACTTTATCGGCAAAGGCTTCAATATCAGAACGGCACAATGGGCTCCAGTCACACATAGTGCCAGAATAGAAATACTGTTTACAAATGAGGATTACTGTTATCAATATTTTTTACGAGAGACAACTAGTCCTACAGTGGAACTGTTATAATTGATTGGGTTCCCTAGTGGCACAAACAAATTTCAGAACACAAGTTACATTATGGAAGAGGTTTTTCTTCCAGAACAACGTCAAAAAAAAGGCTTTCTGATTGCCGGGCACGTGGAGCTATAGCGAGAAATCTAAACATTTGAATGATTTTTAACAGTCCTATGAGAAGTTAATGTCTCGCAAATGAGATCGGTTTTTCATTTGTCGCCGCATAACGAACAACTACCAAAAAAAGTTGTCATCGACTAAGAAGAAATACCCATGATGTAAATCATGGAAACACTCTGACGAAACTCTGCCTAAAGATGGCCTGCTGTTAGATTTGACCGAAGACTACGAGCTGCTCGTTAGAGGGCGAAAAAGTTGTGCGGAAATTGCCTTAGTACCTCATATAAGAAGAGATTGAATCTTTATTAGCGCCAGGGAGTTTCAGGAAAGGATATAGAAGCGAAAGCTTGATTCTGATGTAACCAGATTAACGCGCTTAATGGCACATGCTAGGTACAGATGAAAGATCACCCTAAGGAGAGAAGAGCAAAAGCTACGGCCGAAGCAGCAGAGGTTCGAAAGGGCTTCGGTAGAGCCCACTGAAGCTTCATCATTTCCAAATCATGATGGATGCACAACGTTGCGATTCGCCAGCATTGACTACGACGATGCAGAGAGGCTGCTGAAATTTTAAAGTCATTCTAGGCCGCATAAGCACGAGACTACAGGACGATGATCTGTACCTACAATGCACTATCACTTGCATGCGAGTTTTTTTAGGTAGGACATGATTTTGCAGGGCAGAAGTACAAGGCAAGGCGTCACAGAACCATCTTAAAAGACCAGAAGCTGCCTATTTCACACCGTTCATGATACCGACAATTTACTATGAAAAAACATCATGTTGCTTAGGAGATCTGTTTACCTAGGAGAACTCAGTGGTTGGTGGCTGATAGCTAACATTGAGATGCTGAAGAAAGAGTGGTCGGGCAAACGTGCCTCGGTGGTGTAGTGGTAGAGCACGCGTCCCTGGACAGGAAGAAAGGTGGGTTCGATACCGGCCTAAGGCCGCGTTTTCGCTCATCACTCATTTCTTTTAGGTAAATAGAAAACATCATAACAATACGAAATGCATTAAAATACTATTAATTACGAGGATTAGGAGATCTGTGTTTTTTACAGGACGACACTGAGCTATTTAGAAGATGGAGTCGAGGCGTTCTATGTGGACGAAGAAGAGCTCTAAGGCCATGCGTTATAAAAGATCATCCTTGGAGGCTTTGACGCAGAGAATTTATATCTAAAAAGCTTTTGAAGAATGTCATTATGAGTCACACGGATTGAATTTATCGAACAGGGTGAGAGGTTGTCTGAGTTGATTGTGGTAATTCTGAGCATTCATAGCAATTTATCATTTTGAAAGCTTCACTCTCAATGGTGCACTTAGAAGTTTCTCAGTAAATGAAGGTTATATTTGATTGCTTTGAAATTTTTTACAGAATCAAACAGTTATCTCCATTTCGCAACGTCGCATTTTTCCCGAAAAAAAGAAAGCACCTCAATACAAATACCGCAATCCCAAAACTACCATAAACCGGGTTCCCTGAGTCATCAGTCCGCTTTGGAAAGATGTCGTTATTGGCAACATCAACGAAGCCAGTGATCGGCTTATACAATATCGACACGTTACTGCTATGAAATCTGAAGGCGCAAAAATTAATAACAGGCGTTTGCTTCCAAAACAACTCAAACCATTGAGCCAAGGTGGAACTCACGACTCATAGAAAACCAACGACTCATTTTCAGACCTACGAAGCATTGTAGTAATGTGCTAAGTGAAGATCTCAAGAAGAAGAGCAGTAGGTATGATGGAAGTTGCAGAAGCTGATAAGAGCACTTGCAAATCCGAAAGAAGTTTTGCTAATAACAAAACTTCGGCAAATGTGCTCCGACTTTTGGACGGAACAATAATAATTTAACTATGAAATCTTAGTTGTTAGCTGGCGCGAGGTTGAAAGACGAGATCGGTGTTGCCGTTGTTGATTGTTGATTGTAGATTGCTGTGCGGAGAGCTGGCTGAAGTTTCAGGGACACCGTCTTTTTCAGAGCCTAGAAGTACACTCCTGACACTTGACGTCAAAGTTTTAGAGTTCGACTTTCTCTTAACCTCGGCATCAAAGTTAATTATTAATTTAAGTATGATAACTTAGCTGTTTAGCTAGTGTTCGTCCAGGCTCTGAAGAAGGTAGGGTCGCCGAAACGTTAGCCAGCTATCCGTACAGCGATCTACGATCAACAATCAAGAACGACAACACCAACGTCGTGTACCAACCTTGGGCCAGTTGAACAGCTGAGTTTTCATACCTGAATTAATTATTGTCTTTGATGTCGAGGTTAACAAAAGTCGATCTCTCAAATCAGTTATAGTTTTCATAAAGGAGACGGGGAAAACCATCCACGGCTACTACTTAGATCGCTTCAATATAATTCTCCAATCCTTACGTTTAGTAAGTGATATTGGATTTGTCATTCCACCGGTTCTCCTTTTGAAAATGAGGCATACTATTTATCGGCGAAGAATTGAACACTCGGTTTCCATAAGAAAAGACTTAACGTGTACCACCTGCCGTCCCGTTGATCATCGAGTGACTCGATTGGGCGCCAGCAAATTCCAATTTACCCTATCGCGTGCAAGAGTACTCTGATGGGTCTTCCTCGCACTAGTGATTTGCAGAGCATCACATCTTTCTTCTAGTCCTCTCGTTGAGAAATCGGACTTTTAGGTTAGTGGTCTTCTTGTAGAGCACTTGATATCCCGAGGAATCTAATCGGTAACAGCTCTCGTCCATCGGTTGTCGTAGAAACCACATCAAGCCCTGCACTGTAGCAAGGACGGAGGAGTATGTGACGACAGCACAGCGTACAGTGACAGTGTGCTATCACCACTTTTCAGTCTTATCTACCAACCGTTATCCATCGACTGAAAAGTGGTGATAGCACAGTGTCCATTGTACGCTGTACTGTCGCCACATACGCTCCCTCCTTGCTGCAATGCAGGGCTTAACCCTTTTAGGACCACTAATTGTAATCGCCACGCGCACTGCAAATCGCAGTCTGGGCGCGATTTTCGTTACTTGACTTAGGGTTTTTTCACCGTTTTGCCAATAAACCTAGGGTTTGCTGTAATACTTTTAGAGTTTGCAATTTTCTCTGTACACCCGTATGCCTTTAGTGCAAATATAACCTTTATTTTGTAAAAAGCCTTCTTTTACTACGGGATTATAGTGATAATAGCATTCTGTCAATTGCAATAAGTTGCACGAAGAATGCAGCGATATAAATCATTCAGTTCTAATATAATCTATTTCATACACTTCTCATAGGATACAATAGTGACTAAAGATCAGGAACCATGAATAGTTCGTTAAAAAGATGTTGCACAATGGTTGCAATGCCAGATCATCCTTAAGAAAACGTGAAAAACCTTTTAGGAACAAGTCATATACGGTCGGGAAGCTTTGCCCTAGAGTTTCAGCAATCACCCGATAGCTAGAATCCCGGCAACCATGACACTTTCTTAGCTTTTGGAAAGAGGTCTGTAACGTGCTGTAACACTAAAAATAAGACTGAGTTCTGTACCGTGCTGTAACAGTAAAAATAAGACTATGTTTCACATCCGTTATTCTTTGTTTGCGCAAAGTGGATCTGTGGATAGCTTTCCAATCAAAGTTTAAAAGCCATTTTATGGCATAAATTATGGCAATTCTGGAACTTAATCACATTACATATTCATAGGTTTCTTCGCACACAAGAGATATATATGCATCAAAAGCCTGTAAACATATAAAGGCAACTGTTTTGCATCTGGATGTGGAAATGAATTTGATCTTTTGCTTGGCTCCTTCTGATAGCGGTGTTCGCAACGATTTCAGTTGCCGCTTCAAGGGGTGTGATCTTCGTTATTTATCTGGAAAATTTTTGTCCGTTCTGGAAAAATTTTCGAATTTAACATATTTGTGGAAAAGCCTCTGTTTTATCGTTATATTGATATAGTATTTTCTTTTTATCTTTTTTCTACATAGGAAATAAACATGTGTTGAAATCCGGAGCAATGGCAAACTACCCTGAGTGCAAAACGCAATCTTTTCCTTTCGTTCTTATAGCGCTCTGTGAGGAATTCTGTGAATGGAAGCTAAGATTTCAAGTTGTCACAAATTTTCGTACCAAATGATTATCTAATTATCGCTACATATTCTTCACAACCTTGCACAGACGCCAGCCTTGCAAAAATTGAACGTCGAATGTAAAACGCATTTTTCAAAATGTTGCTCTAAAAGGAGCTTAGTAGGAAACAAGTCTGATAATATGACTACCATTTCTAAGGTATTTGAAGTTTATTGAAACTCTAGTAAAAGCCATCTGACCAGCGAGAAAGCCAGGCAAACACGAGTGCAAAACACACTATACAGTTCGCAGGCGAATCGTAAAATTTTCTTCGTCGCTACAGCATATCAAAAAGGCTTTTCGGAAAACAAGCTCAGTTTTTGAATTGCAATATCTCAGCTCTCAGATGAATGAGCGAATGAAATCTCAAACTATAGTGAAAAATTGTGCCCGAAGAGGAAATCACGAGAGCCTAATTTACCACTATTGGTAAACTTGGTCGCGTAAGAGAAACGCGAAACGTAACTTCTCTTCGTCGTTACTATAGTGCAACAAAAGCTTTACATAAGAAATTAGGTTCACAGTTAGATTTCTCGCTACTCAAGCTACCGGATTTCTGCTAAAACTTTGCGAAAGAACTTTGCCTGATGGAAAAGCCAACCAGATACGTGTGCAAGATACACCACACTTTGTTGAAAAAAACACACGGTTTTGAAAGGGTTAATGTGGGGCGTGAGCCACTGACGAGGAGGGCGAGACCTCCGAAACACGTGTATGGCCTTTGATTCAGTTGATATAGAGGCAGTCGCACAAAATTTGAACACTGAGGGCGTTCTCACTCATGCATAAAGATTCAACGTGGACCACACCTATTTTCGCACATCAAGAACAAAAACTGACTGTTAACTGGATCTCTTAGAAAGGATGTCCATGCGAAACGGATTCGTATAGGTTTTAAACTCTCCTTTAACACCCGAGAATCGCCAGTTTTATGTAGCTTAGAAATCCTGAACTACTCACAATTTATTTTTTAGAGAAGAATGAAGTTTACGGATGCAAAATGTTTGAACTAGTGAGATTTTCCCTAGAAGGCGGAACACGCCACAAAAATGAAGCTTTTCGACCGATTTATTATTTGTCAAATAGGAAAACAGGTGCAACAAGGCGACAGTTCACGCTAATGCTGTTCGCAACTACATTACAGTGGCTAATAATGCCACTCTATTATGAGTATGACAAGAAGAGCATACACATTAACAACATATTCTTGTCAATCCTTCGCTCGTTGTTGGCATCGTAATGTTTTTGAGAGTATCAATGAAACGAGGCGCCAATCATTGAACTTAATGAAGCCGGAAAAAAGAAAGAACTGTGCATAAACAAGATGAAAAAACCAGTTAATTGAGAATCTAGGTTGAGAAGTGAAGAAGTAGAAGTGAATGGCCTGTGATTACGGAGATTACCTCGTACGTAAGCTAATAGCAAAGCAGAGCAATTAGGTACGTGAACGATTACACAATTACGACAAATAATTCTTTATTCGATAAGATGATCGTGGACTGAGTGATACGATACGAATTGCACGAAGAACAAAACGCCTTAATGAAATAAAATACATCCTTTTCCCTTTGGCAATGAAATTAATGCCCGAGAGCTCTGCACATGTATATATTATTTTCCATATGTCTTATCGATAATCCAAAAAAGAACATACTTATCGAAATTGCACTGCTAAAGTACAATTGAAGCAAAAAAAGTCAAATAAATGTAAGGAAAAAATTTTTCAAATCATCAGAAGCATAAAGCAGGGAAACGATTCGATATTTGAATTGTTGCAGAGTCATGCTGACTTAAGCGCTATTCGGAAATATTATTTGAAGGAGATCAAGGACGAAAAGCACATTGA